TCTATATTTTGCAGCATACTTACAAATCAACAAAGACGTCATCTATTGTCCCAAAATCTAAAACACTGCAGCCCTTTTTTTTTGACAGTTTGAAAAGCGGTCGGCAGGTTGGATGTGACCTCTTGAATCATGCATAGGTTCATTACGAAAGGACAAAAAAAAAGAAGTCCCTCTTCACCTGGGGTACTTTGCCTTAATGTCTATAAAAGAGTGGGCGTCTCGGTGCGGGGGCAGCAGAGGGCCCGGGCAGTGTCAACTTAATCAGGTCTCAGCTGGACAGACTGTAAATACAGTATCCCCCCTTCCCAGCATCCCTGCAGGCGCATCCCTAATTCGGGCCCACCTCTGTCATGTGTCACAAGACGCCCCAAACCCCTCCAGCCCAGCACACATACACCCCTGCTGAGATGAAGGAAAGGGTGGCGGAGGTGGTGGTGGTGGGGGAAGAGACGGAGAAGTCGGGGTGGAAAGATTGAGCACTGGGGGGGAGGAGGAGGAGGAGGAGACAGACCCACGGTGTGCCAGCTGGTGTCGTGCCCCCAAGTCGTGACTCATACTTTACCATCTGTTTCACCGAGCGCACACTCGTCTCCGGAGCCGTTCGTTTAATCCCGGCGTGCACGAGCCAAAAAAAAAACCACACAACTCGCATGCATGCAGGTGTGACAGTAAGACGGATGGCTGGTGCCTCATCATATGTGACTCCCCCCTCTGACTCACCCAGACACCGCCGACCACCGTCTCAGCGGAAAGCGTCAATCTGAAAGTGCTACAGGAAATGCTTTTTACTTTAAAGTTTGTTAGTTGAGGATTGGTTGCAAGATTGGGGGATAAGAATTTTCTGCAAATTCTTGAGTTGCTTGTGAGGCTTGCACGACTGTGTTTGATCACCTTGGTGTAGCAGGAGCATCAGTCGGCCTTTTATTAAGCTTGCTCTGCCTTCCCAGTCCACAATGTTGCATTGATGAGACGTCTAAAACTCATCTATGTGGACATATAGGCTAAGTTAAAGTTGGTTGGTAGACGTTTCCATGGCTATGCATTTAAATATATATATGCTAAAATCATTTAAACGTGTACACTTCATGTGTGGTGCATTAACAAAGATCTGAAATGACCTGAGCAGGGATGAAACCTGTCAAACCTGACATTGCCAACACAAAGCTAAGCAGCAAATACAACAGGCCCATGCAAACGTGCAACCCATGCACGAAGAATAAGTCAAGAATATAATTAGCATGTGCACCTATACCATCTAGAAGTAGCAATTCAGATTATTTTATCCCAATATGTGGACATCAGATGTCCAACATTTGTAAATAAAGTTGTTTTAGTGATTCTAAAAAATGCTTGAGGTGGCTCAGTGGTTAGCACCATTGCCTCGCAGCTAGAAGGTTGCATCCCAGTGAGGACACCTGGATCTTTCTGGAGTCTCCATGTTCTCCCCGTGCAGAGTGGGTTCCCTCCAGGTTCTTCCTCCCACACAGTCCAGAAACATGTTGAGGTTAATTGGTGATTCTGAGTGTGCTTGGTTGTCTGTCTCTAAGTGTTGCCCTGTGATAGACTGGTGACCTGTCCATGGTGTCCCCTTCCTTCACCCTGAGTCAGCTGGGATAGACTCCTGTGACCCCAGTGAGGATCCTAGTATAGATAATGGATGCTTGAGATGAAAGCTGTCGGTGCTGAAATGGGATTTACACGCGGTCGCACCTCTTTTTTTTGTTTTTATGCAGAATAAATGTGAAAAACTACCCAACAAGTCACCAATCAATCAATTTAATACACTTGTATTGTGCATCTCTGGACATTTATAGTTGTTTGTTAGTGATACAAATAATGTTGGTAGCCTATATTTAGCCTTGAGATGGGCGTAGCATTGACAGCTGGGAATTCAAATGATAAAATCCAAGATGTGTACTTCAGTTCCGGACGACATGACGTCAAAGCTGCTCCTGAAAAAACAGTGTGGGAGCAATTTTCCTCGCTCTTAAATGTTTGTTCTGCTGCATATTATTAAATTTAACAACTTTACTAAACTCTTTAAAAAAAAAAATAGGACCTCCATCTCAAATATTTCTTGCACACTAATCACCAAAACTCCCAATTATCTAAAAAGGAAGCAGCACTTTCTTTCGGTGAAGCTCTTCTCTGGGGAGCCGAGTGTTAGTTCAGCGCAACAGAAACGCTGTTGATCTAGTCGCGGTGGCGGAAAAGTAGGTCTCATAATGGCTGTGTGCACGGGATAAACAAAACACCAGCTGAAAGCATATATTATGTCAGTTTGTGGCAATCAGGTTGGAATAATCATTTGTAGCAAACATTTCGAAAAGGAAAAAAAATAAAAAATAGGCCAGAGCAGTTTCATTTTTCAGCTCTGCCCCAGTATTTCTGCAAAGCCTGATTTCAAATGAAAGGCTTCGATTCATCTAATTTAGCTATCGTTTTACAGCACATGTTTTGCATGCTGCTTTTTTTCCTCATCTCTCCCCCCCCGCGCTGTTTCAACAGATCCATCTGCGGGCTCTCTAGTTATTCATGGCGCAGCTGAAGTCATTAGGAGCGCTGCTGAAAATGCTGATTATGAATTAGTTACACATATACTAATTGCGTGTGCATTAGTGGCTCAGCACTCACTAGCTAACAGCAACATTTAGCTCCATCGACAAAACAAACTTCCTCGCCTTGTATCGGAAACGAGCCTAACAAGCTGTTCTCTGTCTCTCTCTCTCTCTTCGGCTTCGCAGGTGTTTCTCGCGGTCGGATCACTTGGCGCTACACATGAAGAGGCACATCTGAGGGATTCAAGAGAGGTCAGCGGAAGAGAGGGGAGGCGGAGTGGAAGAAGAAGAAGAAGAAGAAGAAGGAGAGGGAGCGTCATCTGCAGAGCAACATGGACGTCGGAGGCAGGGAGAGAGAGACGGCGGGATGGACTCGAATTAAAACAGATTTAAGGGGGGACGCTGACTACAGACGAAAACTGTCAATCTGCGCCCAACCAGTTGGTCCACGACTCCACGGCGTCACCTCACAAATGTCCGCCCCCCTCGTGTCGTGGACGATACAGACGCTCCATCCCACCCTTCGTATGTGTCGCAGAGGGGATCGACCACATGACGAGACCATGTGCCTGTAGTTGGCAGCTCTTTGTTTTAGTCATCCTTGCGAGGGTTTTTTTTTCGCACTTCTAAAGAGTTCACGCAGCGGTGCTCCACATGCCAGCGAGGATACCGATGCCAAACTGGACCAGTTGTACAGTAATTTTTACCGACAGCAGCACTGCTGTTTGTATATTTCCTCTACTTAGAATGTTCATTTCCGACAGTGGCTCAGCCAAGCAAGCACTCCATCCAACTTGCCGCAGCCTTTACAGATCACCAAAGGGTTTATTGTCTCACATACTTGGACAAATAATAATTCGACATTTCGTCGTCCGACCTCTGTCACACCCACCAACTGGATCCATTTATAAATCCGTCTGGTTTGATGGCATCGGAGCACTTGTTTGAATGGGGGTGTTAGATTGGATTTCCCGAAGACGTGAAGATGGGAGGGTGTTGAGCTGATGTGCTGCAAAGACTGATTGAGGTCATCCAGGGGCCTGGCTTGCTTTATGAACGTCATCCATTGCGGGTTACCACTGGATGAGGCTAACTAATCTACTCTGGGAAAGACTCCTGGAACGTCGGCCGAAATCGAGCGTCTCTAGAGATGAGTGTTTTTTTTCCTCTCTGGGATCTTGACTCTTATGTTGTCAGAAACTGTTGCACAATTGACTCTTTACAAACTTTTTGTAAAAAATAAATAATAAAAAAAAAAACCTCCACTGTCTTGAACTGGGAGACAATTTGGAAGTCACCAAACGCTGGCTTTCACATGCCATAGGAGCATGGACGGCCACATGCACAAGTCAAAGCAGCTAGCTGACTGTGATAGCACACCGAACACAAACGAGATCACTATGTATGTAAAGGCTATATTGTTTCTAAGAAAAGATTCTCCTATTTGTTCGATAAAGACAATTGAAAAAGACCACTTTGAAGAACTCATTGGAAATGGATGCAGCCAAAAACAAAACAAAAAAAACACAAGTGTCCACAGTAGATGCCTGAAATGATCTCTTTGGCCTTTTGAGAGTGATTGGCACCTAACTAGCCACTGGGTTGAGGAGGGATTCGTCCTGTTCGCACCACCCTTGGGGAATTCTTCCAGTTTCGCAGCTTTCAGACACCATCTCAGAAACAAAACAGCATTTAACAGCTCTTTGAATCTGGCCCTATGCACATCCAAGAACATTCCTGCTGACTTCCCGACCAACATGAATGCAGATCTCCACCCTGCTGGATACGGAAGGACTTGTGGGAAGACCATAAGGACACAAATTCAATCAATTGGGTGGCTCTTCTCAGAGCAAATCAATGTGAATGTATCCGAGTCTGAAAATGTTGCCGGGCCCATAACAGCACTTGTGTGTGGTTGGTAAGATCATACCAGACGCCATTTGTGTTCATGCTTTCTCTTTTTTTGCATTAGCAATGAATGATAGGACTCGGAATAACTGGCTAGTCACGGCTGGTAGCTTTCGACATTTTACTGGTGGTACTGGACTAGCAGGAGGTCATGAGTGCAGATTGCCAGTGGGTGGCTGAGATGGGTTAAGGGAGGACGGAGTTGCTCAGTCAGCAATGATAACTGCCCCATCAGCTCATGAAACTGCTGCAGAGTGAAACCCACACGCACAGGGAGACACATACATTCACTCCTAGAACACTGGAATTAGCATTTGTCCTGTGTGACCCGACGTTTAGCAGAGAGAACAAAGACGGAAAGAAAAAAAAAAAAAACAGTCCTTAGGCTAATCCGCAGATACGTTTTTAGATGAACATGCGATCAGCTCAAGCGCACACAAATCAAACAGGCAGCTTGGACAAAAGTAGATTGTCGAGATAAACTGTATTGGGAACGGCGATGTCGAGGTGTTCATTCTTTATTTTACAAGACTTTTAATATTTTGAGGCAAATCGAGGCGCAAAGCAGTCTGCAGTTCGGTGATTTCCCTCTGTGCACCAGAGGCACAATTCAATTTTGGGTATAAATGCGGAGAAGCTCAATCATATCTAGACGTGATCTACCTGCGGCTCTGGAAGTAGATGCATGTCTCAAGTCATGTTTCACACAAAAAGTCTTTCTTCAACGTGGAAACAAGCCTTGGTTTCTTACATTTCAATCTCAGCTCGTCACATACTGCCACTTTGTCTGGACCCTTTGGTGCCACATTTGGGTACCACTTTTTTGCCGGCCTTTTAAAAAATCTGATGCCATGAGTTGGTTTCTTTTGGTGTCTTCTCTTTCGGCAACAAGAAATCTGCCATGAGGTTCATGTAAAAGAGTGAATTTAAATCCAAACGTGATCTTTTGTGAGACTCAACCAAGTAACTTTGGGGCCTAAACTTCACCAAACAGTGAACAAAAGTGAAACTAAACAAGTGTGACCTAGCTTACATCCCTCCGGTCTTCTTTAGCCTCGATTATACTCTAGTATGGACGTGGACGACTGCAAACACCCAGTTGTTCTTGTCATTGTACTACTTTTCTAGTCCTTGCGACCCCGCATGGAAGACGCATGCATGGTAATTCACCTGCGCCGTTGATTATTGGCCAAAAGACGCCTTGTGCTTACCTTTGAGACGTCACTGACTTTGACGAAATGGCAGTATTTGACGTCTTGAGAATGAAAACAGGTTGATCGAGCATATCGGTGACAACATCAGAAAACAAACGAGTTTTAACTGCTGCTTTACTTTAAAGGAGACCAAAAAATCCCCGTGAGCCACCCCAGGTTGCAGCTACAACACCTAATCATCACTCTTTGCTAGCAGATATTCGAGATTTTCTTTGCAGACGATATACAAATGTTCAGTTCTAATTTCAGAACAGGCTAACGGGTCCGTGGTTCTCCTGCTTTAGCCAAACTCTCCACGTGGAAGACAAAAATGAAGAATAGCAGTTTAACCCGCCGCGGGTTAAACCTGTATCATCGATGGCAGCTGTACTTGTGTGTTTTCAGTATTTCAATGGGTCACTCTATTGTTGGACTGAACTGTTGTGAATGTGTGGGAAGATGGGGAGTGTTGTTGTTTCTTTATTTTTTATTTTTTTTTGTCGTTGTTTCTGTTCAGTCGAGGAATTCGGACTGAATGCGTCGTTCATTTAGACTTGAAGGAGCCCAGACATGGAAACACCCCCCATTTACAGGACGGTTTAAAAATTCGGTCTGACTCTTGTTGTGAGCTGACACAAACAAATTGTTCTCTTGTTGCCAGGAGCTCCACCAAAAAAAAAAAAAAACAGGAAAAAAAAAAAATTCAAAATGTGAATGTGTTTTCTGGGAAAAAAAAAAAAAAAGGTTGTTTCATGTCGTCTCTGAGGATGCGGTTCAGTTCTGTGTCATCTTAATGAATGATTGTCAATTCTACTGTGCCTGTGTGTTCTTCGTCCGTTTGTATTTGCACTCTGAATTTTTTGGGAGGAAAAAAAGAAAAAGAAAAAAGAAACCACTTGCATATCTGATGTTTTTTTTTTTTCTGTCCGCTCGTGCACTGCAGTTCACACGACAACAACCCTCGGTGACGATCACAAAGTCTGTACAGTAGCTGTTACTTTTAGCACAAGACAAAAAAATAAAATACACACTCATGCATACATCGCAGACCCACATATGCATGCAGACACTCTGTCAACACGGATTCATGCACACAAATAATAAAAAAAAACAGACAAATCCGTACACATATATGCACAAGCACATCCTGAATCCACACAAACACCTGAACACTTATTCTCCTTGTGTGTGTTTTTTTTTTTTTCATGCCACCTTGTGAGAGATCCACACTGCAGCTCTCAGCCGAGGGTGGGAGGGTGGGGATTTGGGGTTTGGGGTGGGGGGGATACACGAATTACTATGTGTGACACCACCTCTGTTTCCACCAGGTCTGAATTTTAAATCAAACGCACCCCCTTTTTCTACCAGCATTCTCTCATCGCTTTTCCCCTCCTCTCCCCGTCCCCCACCTCCTCCCTTTCCTTCCATTTTCTCAGATATGATCCCTTTCAACTCCTCTCCTCTGTCCGACCCCCACCCGCCTTCCCTCCCTCCGCCTTCTCCTCCATTTTTCCTCTGTTGTCTTTCTCCTTTTCTTTCTCTGTACAAAGTGTTTCAAATTTATCATTTGTATATTATGATGTATGGGTACGATAATGTTCTTTATTATGGAAAAATGAGAAAGATTTATTTTTGTTACCGGTTTGTTTCATAATTCCTTTTTTAAATTGGTATTGTAATATCTCTATGCAAGGAACTGTTCGGTGAATCGTTTTTATTTAAGAATGTAATTATGTGTAATAAATGGTAGAAGCAGTTTGGCATGGAGTATTCATGCTTCTTGGCTTGGTCTGTTAACGGCCGTTTCATCCGGCGACAATGATGCACCTAATCATCCATCTTCATATTTTCTGATTTCTTATCAAGTCTCAATCACAGAGCCATTCAGTTGGTTAACAATAAGTGCCCGGAGTACATTCACATAACCCTTTTTTTTTTTTTTGCTTTTCCCTTTTAGCTGATTTGCCGCTGTTAAATGTGCAAACCAACTTGGTAAAAGTGGGCAGGGAGAATTCATTTACACACCCTCCTATTTCTGCTATTTGCAGCAAGCCACTCTGGAATGAATGAAAAAAAAAACGGCCTCGATTTATCGTTCCCTTTGATCAAACACAGGAAATGGGCCAGAATACTTTCACTTTGCCTGAATGCGCACTCCGGTTGTCGCCCTCTGAGGGAGCTCCGGCATAGTAATTACATCTGTTACCAACCAAGGTGATGACTTATCCGCTATTCCTGTCTTTTGACCATGACTAGCTGATAAAAGGGTAATCGAATAACTAATGGATAATTAGGGAGTAATTACTCCCTGGTAAATGGCCCCTATGCAGTGTATTAATTCTCCTTGGGTCTGGCAGTGAGAAACTCCCATAAGGTTTTTTGTTTCATTTAATGCTCCCTAATTGAAATGGGCACCCTCATCAAGAAGCTTACATGTATCTGTCGAACTTAATGTTCTTTTATCTGTAATTACAGACAGACCGCGTATTATCTACCTAACTAACACCTACTACGTCAATCCCGGAGACACGTTATGAAATTAGAAGCGATGGAGTCATTTTTCAATAAAGGTCGCGCGTCCCATGAGCGCTTTTCAGTCGTCATTTTCGTTCCGTGTGATGGAAATGAGCTCGTATGTGAGTTCACAGCAGAGCTAAATGGTCCTAATGTGATCCGGCAGGAAGAGGGGCATCAGCGCACACTCGTAAAGGTTAACGCAGACGTTCGCAAACACATGGTTGGACGGAGTCGTGCTGTGTAAAGTGTAGCCAACCAACTGTGGTCCCAGTCAGAATCATGCTAGCAGCTAACCTGCTGATGTTTTGCGGGTATGTTTGAACATCTTAGGTTAGCATATTAGCCCGCTAATTAGCAATAAACATAAAATAGAGCGTATCGCATTTGCACGTTTAGATGCTTTCTTTCTCCACCCATCCCCTCCATCACTTCCTGCAGCTCGAGCACACCAGCTGGACTACAAAATAAACTGCTCACAATGGCGAGATGTAATATTGGAGCGATTTGGCCGCACATTTTTGATTTGATTCCAAGAAGAATGCAAGTGTGCCAGTTGACGGGATTGGTTCCTCCCTTTGCTACGTGTCAAACTCCCAAAGTTTGAAGTTGTGTTTTTGAGATATTCAAGGTCGGAAATGCTCATCCGTGGTCCTGACTGCCACTCGTGACATGTCTTCTAGTGTACATAAAACACCATATTGACACGTTAACGAGGCACAAAGTAGACTTTTTATCATAGTAGGACCCCTATAATTTCGGGAACCCCAAAATTTCCACCTGAACCTCTTGGGAATCCATCTAATACCTCTGAGACATTCTACTCAAAAGCCATTCGTCAGGATCCAGCCTTCATCCTCTCTACCTGTCTCTGTGAGTGTGAACACCTGAGCGGAGGCCGACTCACCTGCCACCAATTACACAATAAAACCCTGGCTCTGATCTCGTTCCCCGCCGGATCGTTGACTCCGACTCGTGCCCCCACTGGTTCCCTCGTTATCTCATCGCTCCAGGTCTTTCACTGCCTCCCATGCTGTTTAAAACCTCCACAACGAGCCATCCTTATACTCCTCTGAGCTCCTCTTGCCGTGCCGTTCTCAGTTTTGTTTATCACCGGCGCCGTCTCCCCACTCGGCCAGTCATTAGCGCCATCATCTTATCCCATTTGGATCTTCGCCCGATGCTCCAAGTCGCTTGCATTTCTTGCACCCATGCTATGAGTTTAGTTTGTTAGTTGGTCACTCTGCCGAGCTAACTCCCCTGGGTTCTTTGGTTATTTGTCCTTTGATCCCTGCACTTAGTTATTCAATGTGTGTTTGCACTTTGATTTCACTTTCTCCACACAGTCTCTGATCTTGTCGTCCTCATTAGCGCTCGGGTTCTCCGTAAACCCCCGTGACTCATACTCGTGCCAGAGGAATGAAGCGAAGTGACAAGCGAAGCCGGTCCACAATTTATGGCAATCTCATCGAATCGTTGCGATATCTCTGCAGCTCCGTCTGATTCAGGATCACGGCATTACCTATTAGCATATGCCTTCAGTCTCTGCTGTAAACTGGACAAACGAACGTAGATCATCACCTTCATTGATCCATGCTTTCTCCAAATTGAGGCTGTTTGTAACTCACAGGAGTTGCACCATCATTAATTATTCACAACCTCTGACGTGGTGTTGTGATGACGCGTAGCTTTGCCGACCTACAGGCGTTTCTGTGCAGCAAATGGTGCAAATTTGCAGTTTTTACAGTGAAGTAATTGGAAAGAAAGCGAGAAATGTTGCAGAACACATGGACAAGTGGACTCTTTTAGGTAGTTTTGCTGCTTAAATGCAAAAATATTTGGAATTATTGGAAGAATGGAACTTATCGAAACACTTAAGATTTTTATTTTTTTTTAAAATGAAGTAGCAGACAATCCATCTAATAATGATCATGACATAAACTAGACAAAAAAATACTTAAGTTGGGATTGTTCAAAGTCTGTTTTTTGTCAGTTTCCTGTACCATTCATTAAATACAAATATTCATAGAAACGTGAAGTATACATTTAAGGAGTTGTTGGGAATAGGCCTGTATACTTGCAATATTATTTTCCATTAGATCGCCATAGAGTTTCAAACTTTTTTCTTTCTTTCGACAATTTCCTTTATAAATGCTGCACAATCCACACTTTCAATGAAATTTCAGGGATTAGAATCTGCCTGTTTGCCATTCAAGTGGCTAAGAAAAGGACTTCCATGTATCTTAGGCCACAATCTGTCAAAACCTGATGAACTACACAGACTTTGAGACACATTCACTTTCATTTTTTTATTTAAATTTAATCCCCATCCACACATGTTTCTGGTAACAGTTGGCAAAATCCAAGAGAATTAATGCAGATCCACTGTGGAATGAGGTG